TAGTGAAAATACAATCTCTTCCAATAATAAAAAGGCAATTAAATTAATGAAGTGAATAGATTGAGTCAAAATGGTCGGTAAACTGGTGTAAAAAAATTGACTTTCAAATATATAAGCTTCTAAATTGGGACTAAAATATATGCAGCTATTACATTAAAGATAGAGCAAAATTAAAAATAAAAAAGGCAAAAGAAGACAATGATATCAATATTTTTAGTTGGAAAGTATTTTCCCAAGTAAACCTATAGCATTGAGTGTGAAAATATCAATCAGTGATTCGTGATGTTGAATTTGAATGACAAGGAAAGTAAGTGATGTTTTTAGAAGTTCAAGCGTGCTAAATAAAAATTGTTAGAAATCTCAAGTGAGATTCCTAAAATTATCCCTTATTTATTTAGGTCAGAAACCACCAATTGTCTTTGAACTTAATTTAGAAAATCGTTTAAAAAATTCCACATTTTGTTAAATGAATTTTTTTGTCTTTGATTTTTAAAATATTAATTTTACATCCCTTATAAATTTAAATCAATAAAATTTGGTCCTAATCGTAAGTTTTCAATGCTTTTAGCTTGAAATCACCACGTGACTCACATATAATCATTTTTGAGGTACGAAAATGTCAAACCCCATTTCTTTAGGCTAATTTCTTAAAGGAATAATTTTAGAAACTTCAATTGAGATTTCTGACAATTTCACTAGCCTCCCTTGAAATTTGTAAAATTACACAAACCTCCTCTGAGGTTAAGCTTTAATAACAAAATTAGTCCAAATTAGAAAAAATAGCATTAAAAAAAGTATTTTAAGAAGAGAGATGAAACTTTTATTCGATAACTATCCCTTATACATGTATATAAGTTGCATTAGTTAAAAAATGAAAATAATTAAAAATTAGAAACAATTAACACACACATTCAATACATTAGACAACACAAATAAGTAATAAAACTACACTAATGATTACAAAATTCAGTAAAACAAACTAGTCATCACTCTTAACATTAGGTTTGCTATGATTCTTGTCATTTTGAGTAAAAAGAATTTTTGAATTTGCCTTTCTTTTCCCTTCTTTCTCCTTTATTGTCATGAAAGTACTTTACAATTACAACTATTACAGTTTTAAGAATTTCAAAGAAAAATTTCTCATGGACAAATCTTCTTTTGTCCCGTGTTTTTTCTTTTACCAAATCCCTTCTTTTCACACTATGTACAACTGGTTTCTGATCATTGTCAAATTCTATTGATCACAAAATAGCGTCATTTGGTTTATCAATTGGGCTTATTTTATAATTGTAAGTCATTGTACATCATTAAAGAAATTCTCAACAATTATTTTTGGTAACTAGTTATTAATAGTTAATTAGTGCTCTAATTACTCAATCATTAGCTAGATATTAGTTTCTATAACACATAATGTCTTAGGGTATATGAGTAATTTCTCTCCATGTGATGTAAGTAATTGGGTCCACAATTCTATCAAGAGAGGTAAATGTAATTTTATAAATCTTAGGGAAAGCCAGCAAAACTGTCCAAAACCTCAGAGGGGGTTTCTAAAATAATCCCTTTCTTAAAATACTGTTAACAAAAAGTCGGCAAAATGAATTGAGTGATGGGCCTGTTCTTCATTTAGGGGCACCCATATTGTCAACATTGGCTCCATGGGGTCCCGCATATACTACATGTCGGGCTGCTAACAATGGGCTTGAATACGAACTCGAGTCGAGCTCGATCAATATCGAGATTGAGTTGAGTTCGAGGTCAAAAATACTAAATTCGTTAACTCGCGAGTTCGATTATATATTTTTTATTTTAATAGTAAAATTACATATATATATTCCTAATATTTTATTATTTGTTGATAAAAATTATTATTTTATTTATTTTTAAAAATAAAATAATTATTATTTTTTATTTTTTTAATTCAAGCTCGAGGTCAAACTTAAGATTCTTCGTAAAATTAACTTAACACTCAATTCGATTAGATCAAAACTTGACTCGATTCAACTCGTTTACACCTCTAACTACATGTAACATCCAAACACCTTTTTTTTCATTTTTGAATTTGTTTTTGAAATGTTACTTTTTTTTTTTTAATTTTCGAAATAGGGGGCCGCACGTACTACATGTAGTCCTATATTGCAAAAGAGCCCCTCCAAGAGGGGCCCTTCTCAATAAAAAAAATGAATAAAGAATAAAATAGGGGGCTGTATCATACAACTTGTATGTAGTGCACACGGCCCCACTTGGTTTTAACTTATGCATTCACAGTAATTTTTAACTCAAGTTCGGTGTTTTCCACATTTTGTTTTGTTGACTCCACTTTAATGTATGTACTTTGCGTAATAAAGACTTGATTCCACGTTAATGTACGTACGCAAAACAGTTGATTCATATAATTGTTTTCCACATGTTTTTGATTGATTCCACGTGGATGTACGTACGTAATTAGTTGCGGCAGCCGCCTATTTATTTTAATACTCCCTCCCTTTTTTTATAACTGACGTTTAAGGTTTTGCACACCAATTAAGAAAAGTTTTTCATTGTTTAAATCTATACACTACTTTCCTTTTGTACCCTCATTAATTGTCCAATTCACCAATGTTTTCTCTCACTAGAGTACTAAATGGTGCTGTTTTACTAGGCCAAAAGCAATGCAAACTAACTAGGAGTAGTAATTAAGAACCCTGTATTGGAAAAGAGAGATAAAAGGGTAAAATTGTGAAAAAATAATTAATGCTGCATGGGGATAGTAAAACGACAGATAAAAGTACTTAAGAGCAAATTTCTTAAACGTCAGTTATAAAAAAAGGGAGGGAGTACTACTAATAAGGCCTGATTGTGCGTGCCCACGCTAAAGTATTTAAGGGTAACAAAATTTGAAGGATTGTTTATGAGTTGAGTTTTATGTGTAAATATATTATAAAGAGTATCTTGATGCATTGTTTTGGTTAATAAAGGGAAAAAATTAGTTGTAAGAAAAAGCAAGTTTTAACTCATAAATAAAATAAAATAGATAGGAAAAGGGTATATCATGTTTGGTGGTAATTCCAGTTAGTTTTATACAGGTTTAACTGATGCTAAATATTTTAAGACAATTTAAAATGTTGTTAAATATTAATGTATTAATAAATAAAAGTGAAAGAGAAGAATGTACAGCGCGTTTGGCAGCAATAATAATCTTTATCTTTGTTATAAGTTGGATTCAATTTTAAATGTTTTTTCTGTCTTTGAAATTACATCCCTTTTATTTATATGCAATAATATAAATTTGAAATAATTTAATAGACTTTTCAAACTGTAAATTTTGGGGAAATATAATTCAATTGGAGTACCATTTATATGATCATTTCAAGTTATATTCATCAAATTAACTTGGTCACTTCTTTTTTTTTTTGTTGGAAAAAAGGGAAAAAAAAGAAAATGATGGATCTTGAAAATTGATGCCGTGCAGCATTATCACACTTCTTGCTAGACATAGACGTGTCTTTTGTCAATGTGCAGGAATCTGAGAAATCGTTGATGCCGTGTAGCATTTTCACACTTGCAAGTGACGACTTGGATCCATATCCAACTATCCATCCAATTAATCCAAGTTTTAATGAATTTGGATGAGTCAAAAATTTTTAAATGATTTTAAATGGATAACCATTTAAATTCACCTAACCTTATCGATTCAAGTAGATTACCCCCGTAAAAAGTCAATAATCCAAAGAACAGACCCGGGACTAAATAAAACAGAAGCTGCATGTGGAAAAATGATATGGAGCACGTGATTGAGAAAGGCTAAAGATATTTACTTACTCGGACGACAATATATGAAATAGTTACTCAGGAGTAATGATACATATCACCTATTTTTCATCATCGATCTAACACGTCCTACGTGGATATGATATGCTATGAGTCAATAATTTATTTATAAAATTGAATGTACGTACTTTTTATTTTAGGAGATTTTGTATTTGAATAATTTTCAATTTTTATGGAGTTTCTTAATACAAATAATTACTGCCATGCCATTGCTCCTTTAAGATGGAAAAGGAGACCTTGTCACACGTCATCACTCCACGTAGGTGATGATAAATTGCTAATGAGTATATTGGAGATATTTATATATATATATCATTAATCTACTCTCATAGGCTAGGTATACAAGACTAGGCAAAAGGAAACGTAAAAGCACTTCCACAACGGATCAGAGGCTTGTGTCTTAGTGCTGGTCCATGAGTCTTTTAAGACTTGCTTGCCATTTGTTTGCTTTAACACAACAATTTCATCCCAAAAAGGAAACAATACATGTTTGTCTGACAAAGAAACTTGACAAGAAATAAAGCAAATTAGATCCTTTACAACGTGCTTGGTTGTATGTATGTCAAGGCTAAAAAGATTAGGATCTTTGACCAGCTTCATTTCCACCTGTATATAGTTCTCAATTGCTGTTAATGGCCACCCTGAAAATGACCCACGGATGCAGGTGATGAATCCCAGTGTCCCCTAGTGCAGAACTGGTAGTGAACGTTGCCGACATACTTGACAAAATTACCAGAATAAAATGCTACTATTTCCTTTTTCTTCGTATAGAAGAAATACCCATCTGATTGGAATTTATATGACTGTAACAATGGGAACACTCCTAGATGTTGCAGTTGGAGTGGAGCAGTACTATGTTGAAGATGAACCTTCAAGAATGATGGAGACATGCTTCTAAAATTTCCACGTACCTGAAAATTTTGGCCAATTGTTTTGCATCAAATGAAGGGATGTTGAGGGAAGAAGTCGGTTTGAAAATGAGACCCCTCGGAGATGGTAGAATTCTCCTATCAGGCAATTTCAAAGACCTAGTCAATAACAATTAGAAACATACTGGCAGGAGAACGCCGCGCATGCGCGAATGTAATGATGCCCAGTAATGTCCAGCTGAGTAATTAATTTTTTAATATTAATTAATTCAAAAAAAAAAGTAATGTATTAAGGATCGCGGGCCAGTGGCTGCATAGTTTAGCTAAGTAGAAGCGAAAATTACCAGCAATGTATTTAATTCGTAGGTATATTACACAGCATAGTTCAGCTAAATTCGTTAAGCATGTGAATAAATATTAAATGTGTGATACCAAGGAAAAATCTTTTCAACTCCGGTATCGTCGAAGATCAAAGCTGTAAATATATTTTCAGATTCCGGAACAAAGACAAGAGTTTCGTTGTGCTGCAGTTGATGCTCAAGAATGAAACCTCTCCAGTTTTGATGAAGGCGTTCATGTTTTACACCTATCTGAGTACTTTTATTTCCAGTATTGATAAGTAACTTGGGAGTCTTGGAACCATTGATGAAGTGATCAATAAAGCGTGGAATTTTCTGTCATGAAGAGGTGCAGATCAGAAGATATGCAGAAACAAAAGGAAATTGCTTCCAAGAAAGTTGAGACGACAAAGAGAATGCAGGTAAACATGGAATAGCTTACCAAACTGTTTGGAGTTGCAGAGTTAAATATTTGATAAAAGCAAATCGAATCAGATAGATCCTGGCAGAAATTCGGTCTCAGCGAGGAAGCAACTTGCTGTTGTCTAGTAGGTGTATGGATATCATCTGCAATTAGTGATTATGCGTTAAATTAAAAATTATATATGATATGGATGAGGATATGAGATAGACACAGTGATATTTTGACCTCGTGATGCGACGACATTCATGTGCAACAGGTCTGGTAGGGGAACTGTCCAGGGCAATAAAACTTGTTTTTGTAGTTCACAAAAGTGAATGACATCAAATATCAGATTCCCGCTATGTCGAAGCAACAACGTGTCATGTCTTTTAACAATGTTGTGTTCACAAAAAGCATCCCACCCTTCTTCGAATGAATGATCAGTAACTGTGATAGTCCATTGCCGCAGTCCAACCCTTAGAATGATTCTATTGCAATGATGCTGATGAAGCAACAATTCAAACTGAGTAGGTAATACCTTGAAAAAATGAGGCAGGAAAATAACGTCAAAGAATACCATGCTATTCAACTCTAAATGCTGCAATATAGGCGAACATGAACTAAAAGTTAACCTGTCCTCTGTGGATGCATTTGAGTAGAAAACAGCATGCTGGTAAAGAGCTATTTGTCGGATGAAAATTCGTTGGAGATACAGACATTGTTTCTGCCATTGATCTATTAGGAGGAAAGTTGAAGAATTGAAAAATCAGAAAAGTGGCTTGTTAATAGAAATTACAAGCACAAGTCTGGTAACCTTTAGGCCAAGTTTGGTGTTTGAAGGGGGTAAAAAACCAAAAACAAGAACGTCTAGTGTCAATTCATCTTAGATGCACATTGTAGCAAGTTTAACTGCATTAATGTGCCTGATTAAATGAGAGATGTAAATGTTCTTTCACAACAGCTGCAAAAGCGATTAATTGGTAATGTTTGATAAAGCAAAGTAAATGTACAAAACAGGATATGTGTCAATTTGCAGTGAAATAATCAATTCAAATTACAGAAAAAAAAATAGTTGCTGTGAAAATCAAAACTAGAAATGATTCTGTACAAACCCTGATCAATGGAGTCGCAGTCTTCTTGCCCATCCCCTCTAAATTCCTCGGGCACACAATGTTCTTCTTGCCAATTTTTCTTTAGGGACTGCCGGGCAGAGTAACAGTTAATTGTTCTAGTTTCAATGTAATTGTGCACCTAATTTTGGACTTTTGTGTCTAAACGTATATTAACTACAAAAACTGACTAATGATCTCAGGCGATGCAAGAACTGACTATGAACAACTACAAATCAAGGACGCCAAATATATGAACTACGGGCAAGCAGATAACTGACCTACAATATACATAGAAACATAAGAGTTCCAGATAACAGTATGAGCAATTTCAAAGACCTAGTCAATAACAATTAGAAACATAAGAGTTCCAGATTGCATGCACCAGATATAACTCAAGGTGTGGACGTATATTCTTCCCGTTTAAACACAAAAAAAATAAAATAAAATAAATTCTTGACTGGTTATAATGAAAATAAATAAGCAATTCGATAACCCACCAAAAACAAGTAGGCACTTAAACTGACAATCTAAGATCCTGATGCATGCACACATAGAAGCATACCAGAACTAGTAGACAAAGTAGAAGCCATGTGAAAACTAGAAACTTTTGCATTGTATGAAAGTCAGATGTAGGCCACATTCACCAAAATGTTAGTTCGCACAAAAATGAAGGCTTTAAAATTTAGCTAATAAACCTCCCATCACAAATATCCTAAGCAAAACTAGTCAAGTGACCTACTTCTTGCCAGCCTTCTTCTTTGAGCTAGTATTAGCAGACACCGGTTTGGGATGCTTCTCAGCTTCACTTGGGTCCAACCATTTGAGGGGATGGTGATTGAGAAAAGGCCAATTGGGAACAGTAATGAGAGAAGTCAATAGAACGCCAGCAGCATATATCAGCAGCATTATCTGAAATGAGCCCAAAACATAGCCTGAAATAAATGCCACCACAGCAGAGCTCACCAGCATTATCTGCATGAGCTGCTCTGCTAGCTTCTGCCCTTGCCAATCCATCTATCAATAGATAGCATAAGACGTCTATCACACAAAAAAAAAAAAAAACATTAAGAACGAGGATAGGAACTGGAGATAGATGACAACACATCCAAGAACGAAGTACACTAAGGCTGTGTGTGGTTCCCTGTCAAAATTGTTATTTTATCCAACAGAAATGTAGCTCAATTCCCTGGGACACAAATGCTATTCTAGCAGAGAACCACACGAGGCTTAAAGGTAAAATCCCATCTAATACTGCCCTAAAACAATTCGTTCATTCGAGGTTGGAAGTCAAATAAGTGGAATGCTTGCTCCAAAATGGGGAAATTTTCCACGTATCCGAGGTAATTGCAAACAAGAAACAGAAATTAAAGGAAAAAACACCAAATTTCTACTCAAATTCCTTCCACAATTCTCAGAAGTAGAGTGCTCTTCACTTTAACAAAATTGTAAAACAAAAAATCGTGAATTGGACTGAGCATATAGAATTAAGAAGAGGAAAAAAAGTGCCAAGAATTCTACACAGATATGATAAATAGAAAGAAGTACATAAACATGTATTGACATATAGCAGATAAATTGGGATCACATCAAAATTCAGATTGGCCCCCAATAGAGGGCGCCTAGCATACACACACACACATAATGAATCCGGAGACTGGGATCAAAATGGTAAAAGAATATCTTCATCTTGCACAGATTTTACATTATAAATTATGTACTGTTCCAAGGAAAAAAAAGGCGAACAACTCTAGCAAGGTAAGAACTCTAATACTACAAGAACTAAGATTCACATCTCTAGGCCCCAAACAAAAGCAACGACAAAGCAGAAATAAAAGTTGTAGTAAAAGGAACATAAAGCATAATAGTGGATCCAGTAGAATTAGTTACAACTTTCAAGTGCCCACTAGAAATTATTAACCATTCTCACCAGTATTCACTGTAAAACAAAATCAACGATATCTCCCTCTCCCAGGAACCTTTGAAGGCAACTAATGTTCACCAAGGATTGGAAAAGCTCATATGTCAGACTGGTTAGCAAGATGGATATATATAAATGTCGGGAAGATGATTGTTGAAGGTTTTCAACAAGATAAAGAAATACAACTGCCCATCTTCCCAAAAAAAAGATATTGCAGAGAACTCTTTCGAGCAAAGTGCAATGACAAATTAGCACAATGTCGATACACACAATCCCTGCTTTCTCTAACCATGAGATGTGGATACTAAAATCCCAACCCACATCGATGTGAATCATAAAAGTATGTTAGGTTGAAAGGTATGAAGACTTGTCATTTACTAAACAATTATCTTCCCCACATGCCAAGGGACAGAAAGCTCCCATTCTGCCAGCTTTTCTTTACTTCAAAATTGAGGGCGGTAAATAAGGTTGCAACAGTTTATCAATTTAAGAAATTAATACTAAAACATCCATGACAGACAAGCTAGTCTGAAGCCAACAAAATCCCATTAGAAAACACAAGTTTTCCTTGGTTTGTTCTAATAATTAGAGCAAGACAACTATATAATCAAAATGTATCATCGTTTACTGAACCGTGGATCATGAAGTTCAGGAGGTTCACCCACTAACAACGCCAAGTTTTGTTCCCCCTGAAGTTTACGAGAGACCCGTTCACATTAAACGGCAAAAGGCCCCTGCTTTTTTCATCAGGTTACACTACCGACAAGTCCAGTCAAAAACTTAAATAGCCAAAAAAAAACATACATTTAGAGCAGAAAAAGAACTAAATGGCCATCAAAAAAGAAGATCAAAGCATCCATTTGTTTAAGTGATAAGAAAGAGAGAAATCGATGCCTTGAAATGAACACGGAGATGAGATCCCCTAGCTTTGCAGGCTGCATTTTAAAAAGTTTTAACAAAATTAGCACAAAATCCCTAAAAAATCGATGATAAAAAATTTTGAAACAAATCTAAGAATGAAAAAACAAATAAAAATCTAGTTTAAAACCCAAAAAAAAAAGAGGGAGGAAAAGAGCAATTACACTTGGTAGGGTTATCGGGCTCGCTTTAGTACTTCACCTGAAAAAAGCCCCCCCAGCATTATGGACCGAACAAAGTCCGGTCTTATGGGCATTAACCTCACAGGACGAAGTACATATGGGCTGGGAAAAGGAGACCCAGAAGCCGAAACTAATCGAAATGGGCAATTGCCGCCAAGGATGGTTCCGCCGAGTCACTTTTTTTTTTTTTAGCAAGACTTATTGCGTTTGCATTTATTATTTGGACTAATCTTTTTATACTAAAAATGTAACTTTTGCATATACGTCATAAATATAATAACAGTGATACTATATACAATGTGTCCTCGTAGATATACTCTAATTGTTTTGTGAAATTTAAGCACTAGTTCCAAATACAATTTCTAAATCCCTTCTAGTTTTTGATTGAGGTTATCAGTAGGTTTGCATTTTTGTTATTAATTTTATAATTATTTCTTCCTTTTTATTTTACCAAATATTAGGTTATTTGGTAGATTTTACTTATTTTTTATAATTGATGTTGGTTGTAGGGATTTAGAGCAAAAAGGAATTAAAAGACGTGATTTTCACTGAATTTTTATACTAATCAAATGACGTGGTTCTAATTGTTCCTCTCTAATAAAGCGAAAAACTTGTTTTTATTTCAGTATTGGCCATAACTTGTAGTCCCAATATCACCCCAAGTGGACAGTGACTTTCACGTCGAAAATGTTTCAGTTGGTGGTGCCACCGTGGAAAGGATTTAATTGGATACAAAATTTAAATTAAATTACTAAATTAGGCTAAAACAAAGTTACATAAGTATAAAGTTGAATGATTAAAATGACCATTTCCCCTTAATAAGGGGGACTTGGGAAAGAGCAATTCTACCAGTGTTTCTGTTCATTATCAGGGAATGGACGGAGGAATTGACGGCGGCGGGAGTTCATCAACTTCAATGGGAACTGTCAATTTGAGAGGGAAAGGAGAATCTTTGCCGGATTTGACCGGTAAGGTTCATCAGTTGCCATGCTGCATCAAATACGATGGTCCGACCGCCGTCTCTCACTACTTCAAGCCCATACCCACCGGTATATGAAGTTGTTTATCACTACTATTATTGAAATTAACATTTTAATAGAGATTAATTGGTAGCAATTTTTTATCTGATTATTAATTTATAAAATGATGGTGATGATAGGGGTAGAAATTGATGGTTTGAGAGTGGAGGAAGCTTACTTCAGAGGCAGAAAATTACAGGGCACAACCGTTCCCCTTCCTCAAGGGTACTCTGGTAATTCTAACTCTTTGCATCTATTTTCCCATTATTTTTTTAAATATATTGAGTATATGTTGTGTCCCTAATTATTCTTGCTACAATAAGCATCATTGAAAAAAAAAATCATATTATTCTAAATGGAAAATGCAATGTAGTTTTGGCTGATTTATGGCTAAATGTTTTTTTCTTTGATTTTTTGGATATTACGCGGAAATGAAAGGACTTTATGTAGTGTATTTGTAGATAAGTGTTCTTGTTATTATCGGTTGGAGGTGTATATCCACTGAATATATTACAAAGTGTAACAAATTTTAGTTAAAATATGAAAAATAATGTTTGAAGTCAATTAGAAGATAATGCAGAAGTATCAAATTTGGATTAGCAAATTTCGAGTTCCTCGGTCCCCAACATGAATTAGATAGAGTCAGAGTTAGGCCTTGGTGCAGAGAGGAAATTTACGGATTCAGTAATGTGCAAGTTTATATTTGTTTCATCTATAAAAGAGGATTATCAGGAGGACAGAATAAAAGCTGAGGCTTACTGCACTATTTTGATAATTGTTGTACTAAGGAAATCTGCTGGATTGGTAGGTGGGAGCTTTTGGAGAGTTCTGGAGATTGTTGTGGCTGTCTGTTTACTGAAAGAGGAGTCAATAGTTGGAGTTAGAGCCAATGCTAATGATTATCATTGTTTTGGTCTTTTGTAATAAGTTGTTGCCTGTTGTTGATGGTGGTAAGAAAACTGGAATATAAAGTTCTCTGTCAAATTTGGTTCCAAGATTAGTGGCCTTTTTGGCAGCCCTGTAGCTTGGCAAGCTATCCTGTCTGCTTGCGGAAGCAGAAGATAAAGAAAAGGGAGAAATGTTATGAGTTGGTGTTACAATTGCAGAATAGATTACCCATTAATCATCTGTTATTACATTGTCCTGTAAACTGTAGCCCACTGCTGGAACTTTATTGTCTGGACATTCTGGTATATGTCAGAGAGTGTGATTGGCTAAATGCTGTGGGAGTATGAGGCTGAGAAAGTTGGTTTCTTTGTTAGCATAGCACCCATACTTTGTCCATTGGCTCATGGCTGGATACTTTTGCTCTAAATTTACTGGAACTTTTTTGGTAAAAACCTTGTGTCCAATGTTGGTTGCAAACAAATTCACTTGCTTATGAAACATTGGAAATCACCGTCCGATAGTGATTTATTTGAGAATATGACGTCCTGAATCAAAGTTTCTTTATAACCTCTGCATGTTTCTAAGAGGCACCAATGGTGTGTTAGAAATGATGCTTGTTCTTGCCAGTGTCAATAATAAATCCTAAAAAACCTGCTGAATGCTCTTCAAACTTAGAAGGGATGGAAACATCACTTCAGAGAACTATCTTAGAGGGCCTTAGTCATCTGGCCACATAGTAAGTTGTCTAATATCTTACTCCCAGAATTAGATGTGTCTCTCATAATCATCTGAGTTATTTTATGTGAACTTTAGGAAGATGTGTTCCGCTAAGGGCAATTGAAGTGTGAGGATTGGTTGCTAGCTTCTTCTTGTTGTAACAGCATGCATTCGTTGTTAACCAATATTTATGCGAAGATCAAAATAATCTTTTCTGTTCTGTAAAAAGGAAGCAAATCGTTGACAGCATAATCTTTAGCATAAGATGTGTGTACATCCTAATTTCCTTAGGTATGGGTTTTGTTGACTTATCTCCTGCAATTGTGGGTTGAGAAGAATTAGTGTTGTTTTCTAGTAGCATCTGAGCTTTCCTCTGATAGTCTTGCCATATTAAGAAGTGGCCTTGCTGCTATTTTCCTTGTCTAATTTCGATGCCATTTCAAAACATCAGTTGCCAAGTTATGGCTTTTATATTCTGTAAAAAGTTGATCTTGGCTACTTTGGTGTTTGCAACATACAAGATTGTAGTTGGCCAATGTATTCTGTAGTTTCCAAGAAAGATTTATGAAAATACTGGTAAAGGTTGTTGTAATTACCTTTTAGATTATTGATTTAAGAAATGCAAATATCTCTTGTATGCCCACTTCTTGTGCTTATGGTGAAATTGGACACTGGAATTTATGCATTTGACATTCTCTTTAACCGCTCTGAATACTCTTGGTGTTCATAATTTGCAGGGTTTGTCTTGGGAAAGACTAGTCTAGGCAAGCAAGCTAATATTCCCGAAGAAAATCCAAATTGCTGGGAAACGAAGGCAAAGTTTCAAAATGTAACAGTATGGAACCATGATAGTCTCCCTTCACAAAATGATGCTTTCTTGAGAGCTTTTCACTGGTTTGCTGTTGCAAAATCTGTAAGTGTTTTTCCTCTATTCCTGATCTTGAGAAGAATCAGCAATAAAGCTGGATACACATACATTGGTTGATAACAGTATAGTAGTAATATCCTTCTGCTTTTTCTTTTTCAAAATTTCCAATTTAGCATAGTTTTACTTACTCCATTGGACATTGTGCCTAGTTGCTGATCCAACTTGCACAAACAATTTCTTGAAAACAAGAGAAGAAGATTGCTACAATGTTTGACCTCTTTTCCGATCTTTATATGAATGCAGCTACACCAACCTGTCACTGCTGAAGATCTTGAATCTTCATCCATCAGTCAGAAGCTGGAGTAACCTTTCAGGTGCAAAAACATGTCTAGTTGCTCTTTCATTTTATCTTCACTGGTGCATATGATGCATGTTTAGGTTTAATTTGCAAATTGAAGAATTTCTTGGGGTAAAATCACTCATTCACAGGCGTTATTCTCTGTCCCTGCCCCAATTAGAGTGAACTTTAATGTCTTTTAGGTTAACAAGCTCGCAATTAACTCATAAAGTGCTCTCTTGTCTGCTTGTGACCTGGTTGGTTATAGATAGCGCTGACCATTCCTGGGATTTTCTTGTCATGAAAGCCTCCTTTGATGCGGAATTGACCTATGCAGTTAGTATTTTCAGTTAATATGATGTGATCTTCTATAAGTATATTCTTACTTCTATCGTAGTTACCTTTCCTCCCAAACCTCAGGGCTTTTTAAAGCTATCTCTGAAATTGCACTAAACTTTATGAAGCTTCAATGGTGGTACTAACACATTCTATTGTTAAGGGAGTGTTACACAGAATTGTATTGATTCCAACTGGAGGTCAATATGATCTCAGGAATAAGAAACATATATATATATATATATATATATATATATTTGAAAAGATCTTAGCGGAAGTAAGTTTGATTAATTTGTGTGGAAAACAAATCATGTTAGACCTCCCCACTTACTCAACACCCTCCAATCAAACAGAAGTATATATGCTCCAAAAGCCCTAGATCATGGAGTTCTTTTGGTAGAAATTTTAAGTGGAGTAATATAGGATTTAAAGACTTTTAAGATTACAAATATGATTATTCTGGTAATGAGGATTTCTTTTTTAAATATTTTTGAAGGTAAATAGATGTATTAGAAGTATAATGATAAAGACAGTGAATCAGTGGCTACCTTATTTTGTGGCATCTATAACCATATAAAGAATTTTGAAACTTATAGAAGATTCAAATCTCGAGTATCTCGAGAATATTGGTTTTTCCAAAGTGTTAGGCTTAAATTAAACTTCACAAATAACACTTAAGAATTAAACATAAAATACTACACCAAAATATTACAACCGTGGGATGCAACTAAAGACTCAAAGCTAGAACGCAGATTCACTAGGATCAACACCAAGATACTTGAAGCTTGGAGACTTACCTCACTTAGAGACTTCACCTCACAAATATTAATGTCCTAGGTCCTATTTATTCTATTACATTGTCAGTTATGATGTTTC